GAAACCTAAGAGTTGTGTTGTGTTCACTTTCTGAATATCATAAGGCTAAAGAATATCACGAGAAAGCACTTGCCACCAACATGGAAATTGGTAACAGGGCAAGAGTAGTGGTAAATTACGGAAACCTAGGAGCTGTGTCGTTATAACTTTGTGAATATCAAAAGGCTAGAGAATATCAAAAGAAAGCACTTACCATCGACATTGGAAATTGGTCACAAGGCAGGAGTAGCCGCAAATTACGGAAACCTAGGAGTTGTGTTTGAATCCCTTTGTGAATACCACAAGGCTAAAGAATATCACGAGAAAGCACTTGCCATCACCATGGAATTGGTGACAGGGAAGGAGTAGTAGAAAATTACGCAAACCTAGGAGCTTATGTTTGAATCCCTTTGTGAATATCACAAGGCTAAAGAATATCACGAGAAAGCACTTGCCATCACCATGGAAACTGGTGACAGGGAAGGAGTAGCAGTGAGTTACGGAAACGTAGGAGTTGTATTGCATTGAATTGGTGAATATCACAAGGCTAAAGAATTTTTCGAGAAAGCACTTACCCTTAATGTGGAAATTGGCAACAGAAAGAGCCAATCATATGACCACTATAATTTAGGAGCAACATTACTTTCGCTTAGAAAATTTCGAAATGCCAAAGAGTGTGGCGAGAAAGCCCTTTCTGTCGCAAAAGAAATTGAGGGAAACAGAGAAGCAGAGGCAGAAGCCCACGAACTCCTTGTAGGCGTTTTTTTTTTCACTTTGTGACTATCAGAGGGCTAAAGAATGTTTGGAAAAAGAACTTGCTGTCGTCACTGAAACCGGTAACAAAAGGCATGAAGCCAGTAATAACCAAGGACTAGGAGCAGCGTTTGAGAAGCTTGGCAAATATGACTTGGCCGAAGAACACTTAAAGAAAGCACTCTTGATGAGCCGCAATAATGGTAGTATTAGGGAGAGTTTAACGCTCTGACCTCTCTTTCCACTTTAAAGTGTTTGCAGTCAAAGTTCCAGGAAGCGGTTTCGTATCTTCATCAGTGTATCGAGAAGTTTGAAAAACTGCGAAACTCTGTACAAGGAAGCGAGCAGTTTCAAGTACCTCTTTTAGAGTCTGCTGGGTTTTTCACTTACAAGTTGCTCAGTCGGATCCTATGCCAAGGCCAGTAAAATCATCAAGATGCACTTTGTGTTGAGGAACTTTCTCGAGCTAGTTGCTTGGCACACTCAATGGCAAGAAACTTTACCGTTAGGAATCACACCTCGTCTGATTCGAAATCTTGGTTTGGGATGCGAGGAATTTTAAGCAAAGAACATAATTCCGCATTCCTGTACGTTTCGTATTATGATCGAAAGGTTTTCGTTTGGGTTTTGAAAACAAACGGAGACAGTTTCTTTCGAATTTCAGAAGAAGTCGATGACAAAAGTCTTATTGCTGAGGGAGCTTTTGATTTGGATAGCTTTTTTTAACAAAAGCCTTCACCGCTTTGGTGTCTTACCCATCCAGAGGTGCGAAGATCGCTCTTTGAGTGAAACCATGCCGATATCACTTCATGAAGAGAGCCAAGTAGATTCGCGGGGCGAGGAAACTCAAGAAACCAATAGAAGACTTCATTTGTGTTCCAAAGTGATCACCTCTCCTGTAGCCGAACTGCTCACCGAGCCAGAAATCGTCATTGTTCCCGAGCGTAGCTTGTACCGAGTTCCATTTGCGGCTTTACGTGACCAACCAGGCGGAAAGTCTTTAGTAGAGACTTTCAAGATCCGCGATATTCCTTCTTTGACGACATTGAAGCTTATTCAGGACTGCCCAGCGGACTATCACAGTCAGGCTGGTGCGCTGATTGTGGGTGATCCCAAGGTGGGCAGGGCGCGTTACAGGGAAAAAACTCATAACTCCACATCACTTACCGGTGCAAGAAAGGAAGCAGAGATGATTGGACAACTGCTTGGTGTTCAGCCTTTTGTTAGGAGAGAGTGCCACAAGAGAGGCAGTACTTCAAGCAATTAGTTCAGTGAGTCTGATTCATATTGCTGCCCATGGTAATGCCGACAGAGGAGATTGCCCTTTCCCCTCGCCCCACTGCCAAAAGTATTCCAGAGGAAGAAGACTACCTCTTGAGGGTCTCTGATATTTCACAAGTTAAGCTGCGAGCCAAACTGGTGATACTCAGCTGTTGTCATAGTAGGCATGGAGAGATAAAAGCCGAGGGAGTTCTTGGAATCGCACGAGCGTTCTTAGCATCCGGTGCACGATAAGTTTTGGTGGCACTATGGGCCATTGAAGACGAAGCAACGGAGCAGTTCATGAGGCGTTTCTACAGACACCTTGTTCACGGATTTAGTACCAGTGAATGTCTTCACAAGGCCATGAATTGGCTGAGGAACATCGGCTGCACCAAAATTTCCCAATGGGCTCCGTTCATGCTGAATGGAGATAACGTGTCATTTGACTTTAAGTCGAAACAGAGGTAGGTTTTGTTTCCTTAGTAGCGAGTCACACACTAATACTTTTTCACTAACAAGAGCCGATTCCAGTTAAAATGCCTAAAATGTATAAAGGTGTTGGCTTTTATCCGTAAAATGTCAGTAGTAATAAGTTTTTAGGGCTCAAAATCAATTTAATTTATAAAGTAAACTGGGTTTCGCACTACATTTACATCTAGGATATGAACGTTTAAAAATACTCAGTGAGAATAACAAGTTAAAATCATCCGTCGACAGTTGCTGATTTGCAATCGGCTCTCGCTACGAATTAGCTTTAAAATAACGATACCTTGACTGCTTATTTTTGTTTCTTTGACTTCAGAAAAGAGGAACCTGACTGTGAAGGACAAGAATTACGCATTCAAGAAACCGGAATCAGTAACCTCTTTGGAAGGGACTCCCGATATAATTCTCCAGAGCCTATCGCTCTAATGAGAGAATGATCGTCAGGAGAAGTTATATAAGGCATGCAAACTTAAAGAAGTATATATTTGCAGTTCCTAGGGTTCAATTTCAAGAGGAAAACCTTTTTGAAACTTTTCTTTCATCATGTCTTATGGACAGTTTTTCTTCATGATATATTCAGTACTTAATTGTGCCACTTGCTTAGCTTAGGGTGGTTACACATTTTTTGTACCACGAAATACCTGAATTCTCGGTAGTTTTGACAAAACAAACTCAAACGTTTTGATTTGTTTAAGCTTCTAGATAATCTTTATCGCAAAGCGTTACCACATGTTTTTTGCAGACATGAGAAGTCTTTCCTCAATCAGTTTTAAGTCATGTCGGTTTTAAGTCATGTCAGTTTTAAGTCATGTCAGTTTAAGTCATGTCAGTTTTAATTCTTGTCAGTTTTAAGTCATGTCAGTTTAAGTCGTGTCAGTTTTAAGTCATGTGAGTTTAAAGTCGATCCTCGGTCTGAGTGGAATGAGAGCGGTTGGACTCTTAGGGGTTTAAGTTTCAACCGGGGTAAAAGGTGTACAATGATATAGATTTCTTTCCTATATCTAGTGAGTTATTTTTTTTTCTTTCGACCATTTGCAGTAGGAAAGCCTTTCAGATTGTATATAATTTATGTGATCTTTAAAACCAATTTTAATGAATGTTTAGCAAAATAATTGCAGGCAAAACAACAGCAACAACAACAACAACAGATTTTATTTAAGCTTAATAAGAAAATTACAATGCTTGGGCCCGCAAGTAGCTAGGGCTTTTCGAGGCGGGCACAAGAGAGGAAAATAAAAAAAAGAATTCTACAGAAAATGAATGTTTATATGTATAATTATAATATATAGACGAACAATCCTAAAAGAAATCTAGTTTACCGTGGACAGAATGGATAGACAGAATGAAGAAGGAGGGCAGACTGTAGTATATACTAGAAGCACACACAGCTATAATTTTGAACTCTAACGATTGATTTGTATCTTATTTTGGATTTGTATCTTCTTTCCTTTAAAAGTCAGTCTTACCATTCGGTGAAAGAGAGGACAATATTTTAAGACTATCCTCCAGTCTGCTAGCTGTGAATTGGTCGACCCTTAGTTTAAGGTGAAAGAGAAAAAGTTTAACTTTCTAGTTGAAGTTTCCACAAGGGTCATAAGTGTCAGAAACAGATATTCATCAACTGATCCATTAAATTCTCCTTTTTAAGAATGATTGTCATGTATGACATGTTGCACTGATCATTCTCAGTATATTTAATAAAATCAGTAACTTTAAAATTGTTCAGATTTTCTTACTTTATTTACATACCAGACCATCCTTTCATTGTTCCCTGCAAAATCCTAAAAAATCGAAATTCTGACTTGTAACTTTTTAGAAACTCTCCTTCATATGATGTCAATTCGAAAAAAAGTTTTTTCGTACCAACTAATAACTCCGTAGAGGCTCATAGATATATTTTTTATTCTCCTCACTTGCCTTCTTAAAAATTTCATAGACATTTGTAAGGAGAAATTCTGTTTTGGCCGTCTTTGGGAGTTAAAGAGTTAACGACTCAAGGAAAAGATGATAACAAAAACAAAACCAAACTAAGAAAATCAAATAAACGACAACAGAAGAACACGTCATTTTGGAAACGCTTCTTAGGCGTCTTTTAGTGGTCACTTCGCCTCCCTTGAAGGACGATTTCATACAAGCTCGGATCACCTTGTAAAAATCAGGCACATTTCAAATGTTACCACTTGGCAATGATAAACTTTCATTCCCTGGGAAAGGAGCCCCCCCCCACCCCTCCCTCACCCTTCTGCTCAGAAACTGAACCCATAGAAACTGACATACGGAGGAAGAAAGAACAAATTGTGAGTTTTCTCAAAAGTACACTCCCAGTTTATTATTAAACTGCTCTATTGCACCATAAGAGAGCTGATCAAAAGCGCTTACAGGCTGCACCTAAAATGTACCAATGACCCATGCATTCTTTTTTTTTTTTAAATCTCTACGTTCGTGAATGGACAAAGGAGAAAATAAGTATATACCTTGTTTCAATATTTTTCCAATTTGGGAAAATCTTGGAACAGTAAAAAACATTAAACATATTAGCTTGCAAACCAAAGTCTGGTCCAACTCTTAATTGTAAGTCTCTTGTAAAGAAATAAACTAAATATTCCAGTATTTTACAACAATAAAAATAACTTTTTGTTGCCAATAAGAAACAATAAGCAAACAGTGTTACAGTCTTTGGCCACAGGCTGTCCGCTGCATCTTGGCATATTCCTTTGAATAGTAACTACAGAGGGTTAGAGTGGTTACCAACAACCTGAATCCATCAGTTTTAAGTGCAGTTAAACATGAAAAACCTGTTATGTTTTAAAGCAGTCACCCATTTTCCACGAGTCATCTTTAAATTAATACCCTTATCAAGAGGACATTTAGCAAGGGCTTTATGAATGTCTGCTAAACACAAGTTTCATCATGGTAAAACCAATGTTAATCTTCTTTGTTATTTACCATTCCAGTTCCCTTTTACTTTACCATTACCTCAGGCGTCTTTTAGTGGTCAACTCAAACATCCACCTATGAAGTGTGTTTTTACACTCATCAAGATGCAATCCATCACCTGGACTTTTGAAGTTTCGTATAAGGATGAATAAATATAATTTTCTTATTGAGCACCTTTAACAGGGCAGTGCCTTTTCACTAGTTTTTCCTTATATGTCCTAATTCTCAGAAAGAAAAACATAGTAACCGTTACGGTAAAAATGGCCTGTATCACTCAACTTTTCTTTCAAAGTTTTAGAGTGCAACATCACAAAGGGTATAAATTCTCCATCATGACATGACAAGGTAGACTTCATGCATTTCAATGTTGCGCACAACATCAAGTGAGGGAATTATGTATTTTCATTTAGATAAAACTAACCAGTAGTTATAGACTTATTTACAATTCCCTGAACATATTGGAGATGAAAGCAAGAGCAAGTCACAGTGGAGGTGCAGCATCTTCATAGTGCAACATTGACAGACTTTTTTCTTTCTACTGTAACTTACATATCTTTAGGAAATAACATGTCTTAGTGGTATGACATATGATTGCAGTGTGACNTCCCCATCCTTTGGAAGACAGGATCGAGGACATCATCTCAATGATTCACTCTAGAAGTGCTGTTTGTACAAGAACTTGCTCTTCAGATCATTGCAGGTTATGTCTCTCCTTCGACTTGTTCCGCATCAGCAGTTGATTCATAAGTTGGCTTGCTTGGCAGCATGGGATACTCGACATGGGAGGCTGTTAACATGTTGGTAGGTTGAACTGCGATCAACTTTGATGAGGAGAGTGACAAAAATCCTGGAAAAGCAAAAATTATTAAAATATTTTAATACCAGTTTTCTACTAATTAAAACTCTACCAGTCTGTGAACTGATTGAGCATTCTCATTACCTGTCAGCTAGACAATGTATCCATGGATATTCTAGAAAAGTTACATGTTAACCACTTTTGGGAGTAAAAGGGTTCATGAAAAGTAATCAGCTCAAAAAGTTAATAAAGATTGACATACCAGGGAACAGGTCAGCATTTGTGAGCAACAGTTGCTCATCTGACTCTTCCTGTTTCCTGTCTGAGGTGATGTAATATACACCAATAAACGATAAAATGCACCTGCAAGTTAGAGTTGTTCAAACCTGTTTAAAACCTGAGCTAATGCTTTCCACAAAATAAATCTTCATAATCTTCATGGCCAGCTAGTTTGAAGGCTGATTAGTGCTAACCCAGGATTAAACTTCAATACACTCTGGTTTCTTTATTCATTTGTTCAAAAGCCTTTTATCAGGTAATTTTCTTTACTATATAGCATCCAGTCATCAAATTGCAGACAAAATGGATTCTACTGAATATTCTTTCAAACCTTTCTGATCTGAAATCAAATTCCACACTAACCCTGAGTTATTGTAACCCATCTTTGAGAAAAGCTGTGCATATCAATATTTAAAACAAACACTGGAAAAAAGAACATCATTGACTGTTCCATGGTCATTGTCAAGTTGGATGCCAGGATTTTGCTGAAAAGAGAAACTTTGATTTCATTAAAATACTGAGGAACTTACCCAAAAAGAAACATAAATATTTCCAGGAATGTAAGACCGTAGAATTCTTTATATAAAACAATACCTGAAATCAAAATTAAAAATTCTTAAGCTCCAATGTGTGACCAACACAGAGTTTCTCCTCATGATATTGAAACAATATCATGCAAACAATTATTACTAGTAGTTGATCCAAGACCAAATTCTCCAAACTAACATCACATGAAATGTAGAGCAAACAGTAAGGAGAATTTCTAATGGAATTTGGGGATGACGAGTTTATACCAACTTCTGTATGTTACTTACCGCTTATAATGGCACTAATTGTAAATAAAACAAAGTTGGTGGGGACCACAACAGTTGCATCAAAAGACTGCATGGCTCTGTTGAGAAATCTGTGAAAGAAAAAAACAAAACCTCAGAATTTATCTTATTATACTTATATTGAAGATTAATATCCCTTAAATTTTTATCAAAAAGGCTAGCAATTCACCAAATTGAAATATGGTGTCTAATTTGAATTACCATTGTTTTGGACTTACTAGCCTCGCCTTCACCTGGAAACAAAAGGATTATCACATGCGTAAGAGGCTAGTAAGTCCAGAACAATGACATTATTCAAATTGGACGCCATATTTCGATTCGGTGTATTGTACAAATTTAACAAGCAACTTTCATGCTTTGTAAATGGCAATCTTATTTGTGGATAAAAAATTTTGATCCGACACAAGATCACCCATCCTGAACAGTTCTTCACGGCTAAAATAAAACTTGTGCTATAATTGGAGCCTTGCAAGACACATCTTTGGAAGGCACATTAAGAGGAGTTTCTCTGTAAAATGTTTGTGCCTCTTCACAAACTACAATTCTTAAGTCAGAAAAAGCACAACAGTACAAGGGAGAAATTTGTCATGTACATGTATCACAACCTTCCAAGATGCCCTCAAAATTTTGTACAAGTTGAAGAGAGTCTGTAAAATGTTTATGCTTCTTCACAACTTCCAATTTTGAGTCAGAAAATTACAAGAGAAAAGTTTTTATCATAGCCCTTTTGAAAGTCTCCAAAACATCCTCAGAAGGTCTTTCGGCATTCTCAGATAAAATAAGGTCCTCTGTAAAAAAAGGCTCAAGTCTCTAAACTCAAAAAAATTGTTGGCAGGTGTAAAATTAGTGTTGTTTTCAAACTTACTTGACTTGTGCAATAGCTGTGGTAATCATGACAATAAGCATAACATAAAACAAAGGATGTCCCAACTGACTTTTTCCACCAAGTGTTATGTTTATCATGGACGATACAGCTTTTGCTGATATTACAGTCAAGGAACCTGTTGTGAAATGATTGAGCAAAAAACATCTACCGTATGTCAACAAGCCAATAAAATAGCACTGAGGTGCAAGTTCCCACAGCTGAACTCTAACATTAGTAGGGCTAGACACTAACGGTAGCCACAAACTAGTAGAAATTCAGTATTGGCTGGTGGTTTTCAATTTCCACCAGCCAGTTTGGCTAGTAAACAGATTGAAATTGTTGTAACAGCTAAAATCATCAAGATGCAACTAGCCACTTGGCTAGTGAGTTGAAAAGTTAGTGTCGAGCCCTGATTAGTCTGCATACTCTTCTATGTACATTTATTTTCAATTGGTCTTGAAAAGGAGAATTTGTCTAACAATCATGATTAACCAAGGAGAGTTTCAGAGCTGCTGTGGAATCTCATGAACAACAAGCCTACTAAAATCTTCACATGCCTAGAGAATACTGGGTTTTTGTTCTAAAACAAAAATTTTCAACAACCCAAATGGCAAAAATGTACATTATCATAATGATGACATATTTGTAGCTTGTTCAGAAGAATAATATTTTTATGTGCATTAACTAAATGGTGAAAGAATGCACTTTAACCCTTCCACCCGCTTAACACCAGTGTGCACTGATTCTTCAAATTGTTCTGGAGACATTTCCTAAGGTGCTGACAAGGAGAATTTGTTAAACAATCAAGAGCCTCTCTAGTTGGTGATCATTTCCTTTATTCTTGTCACCTCAATGTGTGATTCAAGGGTGATATTGTAACGAGAAATTATACACTAATTACCCTTAAGTAGAGATCCAAGGGTTGAACTTACCCAACAACGCCACTAAGAGTAGGAAGACGACCACATTTTCCCAGTCATAGCGCCATTGAGCAACCAGAAGAATGCAAAACAGTGCAACTTCCAGTGCCTTGAGGAAACAATTATAAAAGAAGTTAGTTTTCAATGTCACTATTATGTAACAAATGTTGCTGATTATATGTAAATTGCTATGAACTTGTTTGAATTTAATCACTGAATAAAATGGCTGTTAAAAAAAATGAAACTATTAGTCTGGTTAACCCACAAAATTGCAGTTCTGCAAATGAACAAAGATTTCTACATACATGTATATCACCGTTCAGTGAAATATCTCATGTTGCATGCTTTCATACTACTATGAAATACACATACTACAAATACACCCGTTTTTATGAAGTCAGACATGTAAATCAAATGAAGCGAGGCATGCTATGATAATTTAGTTTTCCAAGCTTTTGCCCAACTGCCGTGATCATTCCCTGATGATGCCCTAGATCAGCGAAAGCTTGGAAAACTTAGTTATCGTAGCATACCTGACCTCAATTGATTTAGTATACATGTCTAATTTTATAACACTATGCTACTCAGGGACAACATCCAACGCTTCACCCTTTTTTATATCTCTGTAAATCCTTGTTTGATTGTTTGGTATTAACAGTCTACTGGTTTCCATAGATCAGTTAAGAAATATAGTGGAAGTCTGGTATGGGGTCTAGAAAACACAAACCATCCTAAACATCTATGACACGTCAGCTAGAAACAAAAAGGCTTACCAGATAGACAAGAAAAGGCCACTGTCGCAAATATGATGCCAATTCCTGTCCAGTCAATTCTGAAAACTCCTGTGAGATAAATAAATATCATATTGATTTAGGCAAATAATTTAGACATCATTGGAAAGCTCTTACACTGAAGAAAAGTTTTAAGAAGTTGGACTAAATTGTGAAGCACTTAAATATTGAAATATATAGAGAAAAATTTAAACTTGTTATGAACACTGTACCTTGGTTGAAAACGTTATGAGCAAAAAGGCACCAACTATTGCAAGGGTAACACCTAAAGATGACAAAGAGTGGAGGTTGTTAGTGATTTGTAACTTGCTGATGAAACAGAATCAATTATTTTTACTTTTTTGGGTAAAAATGAAAACTTTTTTTTACTAACAGTTAATTTTTTTTTTAATTTATCATGCTTAATTCCTTCAGAACTTGCATACAAAACTAAATTATCAAAATTACCAAACACATCTTGGTATCGCACTCTTTCCCTCAGAAAAACAACAGCAATGATGGCATTAGCTGCAAGAATAGAGAAGTTCTGATCAAGCAGTGGAAGCATTGATCAAAAGATCAAATACATGTAAATGTACACGACTTCCTGAAAGTTTGAAAGAACAAAGTAAATGAATGGTGATATAATAGTGAGGTTTTAGGTATGGCTATCAAATTTTATACGCGAGGTAGACTGCTTTCACAGCCACATCTTGAGTTTCTACCAACAAGTATTTGTGGTTTAAAACACCAAGTAAATGAAAATAATGGTTTTTTTTATTCCCAAAGTACCAGCTCAGCAAGCCAAAATCTTTTAAAATCCTTGAATCTGATTAACTAATTGCATGAACATCAGAACCAGTCCAGCTTTTTACAATACGGGCCAAGCTGGTCTAGAATTTTTTATCTTGCCATTTGTTGCAAACCAGAAAAATGAAAACTAGCAGAAAATAAGTTATTTACTGGTTTACTAAATAACTTATAGGTTAGTAATCCAGACCTCATGCATAGTTTTTTTTTTCCAAATGGACCTCCCCCTCCTGCTAAACAACATATATTTATAAGTTAACTACAAAAACTATGAACTATAAACTGGTTACCAGTTACTAAACACCTCCCTGAAGATAGAACAAGTTGGAGAGGATGTCCAATGGCTTACCTATTACAGTGGTAGTTCCAAGTGGAGCCACAAGCGATGCTGGTGAGAATCCATAAGCAGAGAAGTTTCCAATTTCTCCGAGAACCATTAAAAAAAGACCAACCCTAAAATCATCAAAAAGAAAAAAGGTAATATTTTTTAATTACCCCTTTTCACCCTAACATCAGTATGCATATTCTCCATACTGTTCTCTATACATTTCCTAAGGTGCTGATAACAAGAATTTGTTCAATTAGCATTCCCAAGTTTTCCATAGTTGGTACACCATTTCCACTATTCTCAGGATCTTATTGTTGATAAAAATAATAATAATCTATTTCAAGTCAATAATGTAGTAAATGGTTGCCCAATCTTCCTGGTGGCTGATGTTAATAAATTTTAGAAAAATATTCTATATAGACAAAAGAAATTAATAATCAATAAACGTTATATATAAGCATATCCACAAACAAATTTTAAAGGAATATTTACCTAAAAAAATAATCAAAAAAATTTTAAATTTTTTTTTAAATATTGGAAAATAATTAAAAAATCGAAAAAAAAAAGTTCAATTCAGGAATGATGTTGTCAGGATTAATTAGATGCTAACTAGTCACTTTTAAGGGTTGAGGGATTAATAACTTGGGTGAAGAATTTTTCAAACAAACTCAATATCTTTCTTCTTCAATAATTCCTTTCTTGACCAAGCATGTTTGGTATACATACATGTACACATACGAGTAATTGGCCAAAATTCCCACAAAAATACACTTACCACATTTCATCACTGTATTACAGCATAGATTTAAAGAGTTTTTAAATAGTTGGAATAAAAAAAATGTTTATTTTTACATTGACTTAACTGTACATATTTTATTTCAAAACTGAAAAATAGTATTGCACAGTAATTATTCCATAAGACTGAGTTAGCTTTCAGCTGTTGAGTGAAACTTGCTCTCTTTCAAGTTGACAACAAAGAGGTGACATACATCAAACTATTCTTAAAATATTTCTCTACATCTTCATTAATAATTTAAATTATAAGTGAAACAAGGATCACCAAAAACATACCACCATATTTTACTCTTCAAGTAGTGTGTTTCACTTTTCTCTTCTGCTTGACGCAAATGGGAATATTTCTATAATAAAAGTAAATGAAACAGTGATTAAACAGATTGTAATTTTTCTGAAAAACAATTTTACAAGAATAACAGTTAAACATTATTCAATAGAAACTGTTGTAAATTATGCATGAGCTTCACCAACTTGTCCAGTGAATATTTCAGAATTCAAAAGGGCTTTGGCAACAATGACACATAACAAATGGAAAAGCTTTGTTACAAAGGAAGAACTTTCATTTTTGAACTTATTTTTCCAATTTGACAAATGCATCAAAACCTTGTTTTGTATTATAATACTGCAAATGAAATTTAATTAAAAGAAACTTGAAATATATGCAGTAATGAATTCAAAAGAACTACTTGTGGTTCTTGGAATAATTTACTGTCAAAAATGTTGCATCCTTTATTCAATAGAGAAGTACACACTTGAATATTCCAGCTTCCTATCAGAAAAAAAGCTGATTTCTTTAAAAGGAATAAAAATGCCATGAACACAGCAACAAAATGGGCCCACAATTCAAATGATTTTAAGCCATTTCAGACCAAGGATGAATCAATTAATACTTGTTCAGAGAAAAGATGTAAATATACAGAACACTATACTTTACTATAATTGTATGTTCTTATAAACTGACTCTTTACAAAGAACATTCTGTAAACATCAGGATTACATGTGAGCTAAAGGACAAATCACAGAAATTGCCTTAAGGATGTAGATGGAGAAAAAAATTACGAAAGTTCAGTACTATAGTAACATTTATTTAGCATTCTGATGTGGTACAACTATTCATTAACAATTGGCAACAAAATCTTCAAAGTGTATAACACTTTCAAAACCAATTTTTTTGTATCATTTCTGTTGGTCAGGACTAGAAGTAAGAGCCAGTAAGCAGACAATATTTGGTCAAATATACCTGTAGGTTTTGTCTGGTTAACTGCTTGGATAGCCAGACATTTTGTCTTTTTGTTTAAGCATGTAAAAAAGAAGTTAATTTTGAGCTACACTCAGGTTTTAAATATGGCTGTATCGCTTTTCAAGCTTTGAGTTTGAGGCTATAATTATGTATAATATGCACAATAGAAGCATGGTAAAACACTTTTTTGAAGAAGGGGGAATTTGTGGAGGTATGACACTGAATATTTGTTCTGCCAAAAATACGTTGTATCCAAGCAAAGCTACATATAGGTTTGACTAGACAAATTGACCATTGAATGCAACCAGAAAATTTTTGTGAACCTTCAGAGCTTTACACTAACTTTCCAACTTACTAGCCAAGTGGCTAGTGACATCTTAGATGTTTTTAGATGTTACGACAATTTCAGTCTGTTTACTAGCCAAACTGGCTGGTGGAAATTGAAAACCTCTAGCCAAAACTGAATTTCTACTAGTCTGTGGCTTAAGTGAGCTACCATTAGCATTGAGCCCTGAACCTAGCTGGTAGAGCTGAATTGAGAAATCATCATTCAAATCCAACACTCCCATTTAAAACTGAAGAACTGCCTGCAGATATACATGTTTGAAAGAAATACTATTTGGAGATTTTTAATTATTTATAATCCTAACCTCAAAGAATACTTAAAATAAAAACACTCTCCATCTACTGACCTGTATATTCATTGAAATACTGATAAGAAGGTTTCCCGTAATTGCTAGAGCTGCTCCAATAAAAATATTCTGTAAAAATAAAAATAAAATCATTATTCCAAATAATTATTGTAATTTTAATAATATTAGATTCGAAAGCAATTTTAGGTGGATAATAATTTAACAAAGGATCTGATGAACAATAAAACAAAAAGGAAAGTAAGAACTTCTTAAAAATTTATCTCAGAAGAGGAAAAGTTGCTAATCTTTTAATTGAAAATACTTTTCCTCGAAGTCAGAGAGATTAAAAAAATTATCACATTTCAGATAATGCATTATTTTTTTTTTAACCATAATGTCTATAGTACACTGCACCTCATAAAGTTGAGTGAAAATAACAAATTTTCAAACGCTGTCTTCAGTGGCTTATGAAATGAAGATTAAATTTAAAAGCCCCGAATCCATGACAAGCAAAACAAGGAGTTATTAATTATTATATCTTTGAAAGTTCTTGAAAGGAAAAAAAAGTATCAAACCTTAAATATTGCGGTAAGATTTTCAGTAAAAAAAAAAAAAATTCTTGTCCCAACATCAAAGAATGCAACATTTTGAGATGAAAAATTGGCAAATAACTCAGTTCATTACGTCCGAAAAGATTTAAAATAAACACAATGAAATGGATAGGAATACAAAATTTTATTTCCTAGTTCGAAAATGAAACAGGTGGAATCCATTTGAAAGCGAAAACAATATTTTCTTCATTTCGAGAAAATGAATACATTACGTTAGTTTTTTTTTCCGGATGCAAGTTAAGACCATTGTGCTGTATACATTCCCCAAAGGAAAATGCGAAAATAACAAAGGTAAATTCAACATCGCTACGCGCGGGAAAGACAGTGTCAATTAAGTTCTTCAAGCGTGTACAAAGTAACACGCATCAGAGAAAACGGATGTGTTGAATATATATTACTTTCTGTGAATTCCGCAATTCACATATGAAAATGACATTTTTTATTCTCCATTTAAAAAAGTAATCTGTATTCGCTATGCTCTAGTCAACAATCTCACTAGAAATAAACTATGTTGAGTAAAAGCAGTGAAATGAGTCCTATTTTCGTTTCGCTCGATGATTTTTGATCGAAGAACTTTACGACAAATCGAGTGTGCATGATCTAGTGGTAAAACCTTTCAAGCTAGTGGAACAGAGATCAAAGCTTTTTAGTTCAAATCTCAAAAGAACCGAAGAAGAAATATCTAACGTTAAGAACATTCTGTTTGTCGCGGATCTGTCCCTACAAAGTAAAAAGTTGAGTTCATAATTTACTAGTTTGTTAGTTCAAGTTTTTGAGGGCCGCATGAACAAGACAAAAGCACTGCTGATTTAATTTTACCATTCACTGCAGAAAATAATATCATAATCGTTGATAATTCTGCAAAATTTTGAACCATTTTGATCATAAATCGAGATAAATAAAAATATACAACACACCTTTGACGAAAGGCCTTCGGAGCCAGTAGTTTCTAAGGAGACCATTTTGAGGTCTTTTCACCATTTGGCAACTTACAAATTAGAAATATAAGCGACAAAGAAACGTCAAACCAAAACACATTGTGTACCCGTGCCGAGGGTAAAATTACTGCCGTTAGAGAGGCGCTACAGAGCAAGATTTCAGACGATCACAGCGAACAAAACCTCTTGAACAGTCGTATTCAAAAGATACCGCAGAAACCTGCATAAATTTATTAAGCATTCGTTCTCATTCCCCAGAGAGTTCGCACAGTACTCGGTGCTTCCTTTTGCCAGGCTGCTAAGACTAGCCAGGGTAGCGCGAGAAAATGAAGAAAAGAATAAAATTTCGATAAGATTTTAACCAGATGATGAAAGTTCCAATTTTTCATTTGATTGGAGATAAATGGAACATTACTGTAAACACTCACAGATCCAAAGTTTTTTACAAAGGAGATTGTTCTTGTGGCGATAATTACATTGGCGAAACTGTGAGAAATTTAGCAGTTCGTAGTGGGGAGCATTCAAATCCTGCTCACACCTCTGAACATGCAAAACACTCGCGGGAAAATCCATCCCATTCTTTCACTTGGCGTCTTCTCTCCTCAGCAGAAACATTCCACAAGCGTAAGATCGTCGAGGGGCTAATGATCCAACAATTCCGTCCCAGTTTGAACAAACAAATGGAAGTTATTTCGCTTATGTCTCCAAACTTTTCCCATCGGGAATCACACTGATATATTATATTATGTATGTACAGACGGCCATTATTTTCAACCCTGATGATGGCAAACAGCCGAAAACGTTTGGTTTAAACGTTTTAATAATCTTTTTCCTAATCTTTTAGTTTTGTATATAGAATATATATCCTTTATGAAGGGAACATTATGGACACTATAGTATATCGTAATGATGTTTTCAGAAGGCTTGTGACATCGCAAGTACTGTTCTGCGCAGGAGTCTAATAAAGAGCATTTTTTTTTCTTCTGAACTGCCACCCAGCTCTGATTTCTTGATACCAGTGCAGTGCAGGGAACACGTGACGCAGCCACGCAACGTAGCGTATGACGAAATCTCCGTGTGATGCATGGTTGTCACATCCACATGATGTGAGTCATGGCTGTCACATCCACATGATGTGAGTCATGGTCAAATGGTCTCTGGTGTTCTTCGTGTTTATTTCAAAATATCCAACTGCAAAGATCAGAACTGAAGAATAACAAAAAACTGGATATTTAAAAAAATCAACTTGCAGATTATTTTCCACGTATAGTCATTGACATGTTTTTCCAGTAAAATGAAATCACTGAGATGATATGTGTCCCCTTGTTCTGATCCAGGGAAAGTCGATAGAACCCAAACATGTCTTTTCCCACCCCTCCCTTGACACTAGCCATTGCTACTAACGTACCCATAACTCTTAGCGAGTTTACGTCGCCATCTTGAACTCACGGGGGAGGATCAATTTCGCTTTGGAAAATGCCGTAGCTAAAGGATTTTCTATCGGAGTTCTACCAATATCGCCTTGCCTGTGGCTACGTATAGAATTGTTAACCAAGATGTTCGAAAAGAACCTCACGGACCTTGTCCGTGGAATAAGGAACAACAAAAGCAACGAGGTACAAGGAACATGGTTGATTTGACTCTCCTCACTTGAGCATTGTTACTTTTAATACAGACGACGTGGCAGTTGTCTCGTTAAGTTTATTTTGATCTTAATCATGCGACTAATCATGAAGCTCGCAAAATTTTTGATCTAGTCTGAATGCTTATTTATATGTTTACATTTTTGGTAGATTAGAATATATGAAAATACAAATTATAGCGATCAATTGGTAAAAATATTGAATTGACTGGTTCATACTCATACTCATTTTACTCTGTTGTTTGCTTGATTCTAAACAAAATCTCGCAATATCCGTATGCGGTCCTTTAATTAGAATCGATTCTAGGTCAAGCGTGTTTCAGTAGAATTTCGATTGAATGTTACATAATTAGTCCGGGCAATTTGACTGAAAACCTATTACTAACAGGAAGTGTATTTTCCGTTGATTTTAAAGGCTAAGTACATAGCTGCCTGTCTGGATGAAATCAAACAAGAGCTGAGACAGGAGAATGCTGCTATGAAAGCCAATGCAGTAGCGAAACTCAGTTATGTAAGTAAAACTTTGAACAAATACAAGAAGCTTTCAGTTTTCATACTCCGTGAGGTACTGACTCGACCTTACTTATTTGTGAAATGAAATTTAGTTTATTACAAATTATGATAATTTGTGCAAGTGCTACATAGTTTGTCCATTAGGTTATTCCAGGTGATATTCTGTTATGTATCTAAGAACAAGAACATATCTAAAGAGAGATATTATTCATGTGTAACTCATGAAGGGCAAAGAAAAATTCTAAGTTTTGCTGAAGATTTCAATTCTCAGAACATCCGATTTCATGATTCAATGTTCTATCAACTAAGCTGTAGAAAACTTTTCGGCAAACAATGCCATTTACCACATTTAATTTATATACAACAAGTGTCTTACATTCTGTAAAGGTAAATCAGTCATGTTCAAGGCATTGTTAATTGTCGATAGTTTTATTCACCAAGACTGTAAAATTTTCAATTGTGGTAAGTGTGGAACCAGTCAAAATCTAAGTCGTTCTTGCAGACTACAGAAAACGTGTTCTAGAGCCATAAGGTCATATTGATATGTTTTTATCCATAACGGAATATTGTTTGCACTGACTGTGAGACCAGCTTTGGGGGTAATTTTTGATATGTGCCCTTCTCAGACAAGTGACTCAGTGACTCTTACCTTGACCTGTTTTTATTTGACAAGCGATTACCATAACTGAATGAGTTAAATGTGCATTAATGTATTGGATTTGTACATTGACATCTTATTAAATAAAATACAGTTTGTGGAAATATCAGTTCAGGAAAAATAACAAAGAGTAACAACTATACTACTATGAATGCTTTAGGATGAGCTTGGTATATTAAAACACACTTCATGTTCAACGCAGATGTTGTATTTAACTAATAGATTCCATGTTGCTATATATTGTGTCTCTTCAGTTATACATTACAGATGGTGATGTAACAATGTAGTAAGAACGAGGTGACATACAGTGTGCAAGTGTCACTGACAGAAGATGTTTTAACTACATTTTTATGTCTTCTGTGATCTGTCATGGAACAAGCCTATAGTAACATGGAATCTACTGTAATTTTCAGCCATTTACTCGCGAGTAATCTGTTGAATTTTCCCTTAACATGCACCACTGTGAGTAATATGGAGGTGCGGGTTATGTAACAATTTTGAAATCTACTAGCGGTTGAATTGAAAAAAGTTCTCACCTCCCTGCGTTTCCACTTCTCAAATGAATTTTATTGTATTGAGACTGCCAAAAAGTGACACGAGAACATGCCAACTCGAGTTTATTTCATGCATAATTAGTTGCACGACGAACAAAAATTTTTGATTGGCACATGTGTAACAAAACCTTGATTGTGACAAAAATAATCCAAGGTTATCCGGCGCATCAGTAACAAATTTCCAGTTAACACAAGCTTGAGTTGAAGAGAGTTAACCCATTTTAAGGGACTTGTTAGTCCAAGGAGAACCGGAGATATCGATTATTTTTTTTTGTGTGTGTGTGAGTGATCGAACGATCACTCACTCAAAATGTGGCCACAAATTCGCATTCTGTCAAGTATGAAACGTTGTGAATTCTAGAGCCTTTTTGTACAAATTTCCTTTGCTTTTAAGGTGCAGGTTATCCACCAGTGCAGGTAACCTGTTGACTTTTTTTTTGGCTGTGTGCAATAATAGGCGTGTGCGGGTAATCGGCCGTGCAGGTAAACGGCCGGAAATTAGGGTATTTGTTTTATGCTGTAAAGATGCATAATATTGCCAATGGTAAGGTGGTCTCTGGGTTTGTCCTCTATAATGAGTACGAATCAATCAGAATTTTTTGTGTAATCATCAGGTAATTAAGAAATTATTATATCTGGTCACAATCTTGGATAAAAATTTGACCTTTCAGGGCTCGACACTAACTGTAGCCCACTAGCTACAGACTGGTAGAAATTCAGTTTTGGCTGGTGGTTTTTGATTTCCACTAGCTAGTTTGGTTAGTAAACAAACTGAAATTGTTGTAACATCTAAGATGTCATTAGCCACTTGGCTAGTAAGTTGAAAAGTTGGTGTGGAGCCCTGCCTTTAAATCCCCAGAAATGATTAACAATTAACTTCTCCCTTTGATAATGATTATCGATACATTATTCAGCTAAATGGTGTTGAGAATACTGAAACTTATCATGTTGTTATCTTGATCTAACACCAAATTCTCGTAACTAATTCACAAAGAAATATGTAGTAGCTAGAGGGGAGAAGTAACAATATTATCTTGAAAGAGTTGATAAGAATCTCTTCTCAATGAAGCACCCCTCAAGTAAGCTATTTAGTTGTCACCTTTGTTTGAAGTAAACATTGCTAGTACCTAGCAATAGCAATAGTAATCAAAGGTTAAATAAATGTCTTTACGTGGGGGCATGGTTACCCATATTGCCCTAGCCCGAGGCTCATGTATGAAATGCAAGAGAACAACCCACCCATCCCACCCCAGGGGAGGACATCCATCACACAGTAATCTCGTGCATGGGAAATTAACGTCTCCTATCCCTAACCCTGCAGGAGACGGGACCTCCATTTATTCCTACCTATCCGAGAGAACTAGAATATTTATACCATTTCTTTATGTTATAGAAAGGCAACATATTCTTCTCAATTATTTTAAGACCTTGAGTGTTGGTCCGGCTGGGGCTCAAACCCTCGACCTCCCACACATTAGTCCTGAGCTCTATCCATTGAGCTAAGCAGGAGGCGGTTAATGTTAATGTTTACTTCAATGTTTGAAGTAAACATTGCCAGTACCTATTTGAAGATTTAATTTTTTCTGAATGTTATTCTACTTTTTGGTTTATTAGCTTCAAATGCTGGGATATGACATCAGTTGGGCTGCATTTAACATTATTGAAGTCATGAGTTCTTCCAAGTTTACATACAAGGTATGTATTAACATAAACTTTTAGAATTTATGAAAGATAAAATCAATTTGGTTTTAATAACTAGCAAATGTCACTTGATTCGTGTGGACCATCTTTACCGAGCACTGTAGATGTGGAGATGACTTGTGATTGAAGTATTGATATCTTTAAATGTTTTGTAATAATTGTTATTATTATTATTTTCACAGAGAATTGGTTATTTAGCTGCATCACAATCATTCCATGAAGATTTGGATATTCTCATGTTGACCACAAATATGATCAGAAAGGTGCGGCTAATCTTTTTAGTGTCATGTTAACAGCAGTGGTTACTAATTTTTGCTTAGGGTGTTTGTTCACTTGTTCTTTATGTACGTTGATTGTGCGATACAGATTTGAACTGTCAATATCAAATCAGAGTGTTCACAGTTTTTAAAATCTCAGTGTAAGCACAAATCATATTCAAGGCCAATGTTACTCTTGATGCAATAATGTTATTTGTGACCCATTGAACCTCTCTCATGCTTTTCTTGAAAAACATCAATAGACAAAAATCCATGTATGAGGGCTATTAGCAATGATGTGAACAGGTTTGTACAAAGTCATACAGCTATGCAAGCTGAGAAGTTAAAGAGGAAGCGAAGTAAAAGACAGAACAGTGATATGATAAAATGCTTCTTGACTGGGGTACACGTGGGTCAGGTGGGAAAGAAAAATGTTTTGCTCTCAGTCATGACGCAAACCCTGTATTGCACTTAGCTATAATATGTCTTGACTTTATGCCAAATATTTAGCATCCAGCCTTCCCAATCAGTCATTAAGTACATACATGAATTATTATTCTTGGTTTTTTATTTTTTGTAGGACCTTTGCAGCATGAACATGTATGATGCCGGTGTATCTTTGTCTGGTTTTGCTTGCTTTGTGACGACAGACTTAGCAAGAGACTTAGCAAATGATGTTATGTCATTGGTGAGTTTTGTATGATTACTGGTGAAGTTTGGTTTATACATTTGATGTTGGAACACAAGAAATAATAATTAAGAGTTAATAGATTAAAGGAAAATGCGATAAATACATGTAAAATAAACAACAATTTATTTTGTGAAATTTGCTCTGTTTTGCTTTTCAATATACATTTAACTTATTTGTCGGTAAGTCTTGTTGTCTTTCAAATTTTGTATAAATTTCTCTCTTACCCTCCCCCTCCTAAATAAAACATACATTGTTTTTCCTGAGAATGAGTTAATTAGGAAGTCAAATGTCATTAGATTTTATGTCAGGGAAACTTTTTTGACCTTCACTCATCCTTGGAATTCCAATGAAAATTGTGTAAATTGATCAAATATACTTGTTGATTATTTATCCAAGATCTTTTTGCTAAAATATCATCTTTAATTTTTCTTTTTTCTTATCAGCTCGTCTCAACCAAGCCCTACATCAGAAAAAGAGCTGTTTTGCTAATGTATAAGATATTTCTCAAGGTAAGGGCATAAATAGATATAATTATTTCTGGATGCATTATCCCAACTAGTTATTGATAAGTTTTAACAACATGTTTCTGTTTTGTAGACCTTCTTGTCCTTCCTCAGTGGCTGTTTGTGTAATGCCCCTTTTGTCTGTCAGTCATACTGTAGTGTGCATGCACAGTATGTGTGTGTCTGTTTAACAGTGTCAAATTTGCTTCAACTATTTACATCCTAACATGAGTATGCATATTCTCCATACTGTTCTCTATACATTTCCTGAGGTGCTGAGAAGGAGAATTTGTTTAACAATCAAGAGCTTCTTTAGTTGGAGATCATTTCCTTTATTCTCATGACCTTAATTTGTGATTCAGGGGTGATATTGTAAGGAGAAATAAGATGCTGGTCACTGTTCGAGGTTTAAGTGTTCATTTTGTTGAGAGAGCCTATTATTACTTTTTATGCATATCAAATACAGTTTCCTGAAGCCTTAAGACCAGCCTTCCCAAGACTAAAGGAAAAGCTTGAAGACGGTGAACCTGGTAAGGTGTTAATAATAATAGTGAATGTTAATAAGGGTGGTTTATCTGTTAAATGCAGACGGGAAACTATAATCAACTTGTGGAGGGTCATAAGATGATTTCACAAGAAGAGGGTAACCAAGTCAAGTCAAAGAGGTTGAAGAATCTGTGCAGTGGTGTTCTTGTTGAAGGACAAGGATCTTCTTGGTATCAAAATTAACATCTTACATCCGTGTCAGTTTTGGGGATAAAATAATCAGTAATAAAAAACCAATGATGATCAACAATCAAGGACAACTTTCATATTAATTAAATAATTTAGCTTTCAATGCAACCCAGGTTTGCTTTCAATTGGTTTTTACTTCACTTTCATACCAAAACTTCTAAACATATAAAATATACAATTATTGTTATAAGTGTGATTTTATGATTGATCAAGTTGATGTTATATTAATTTCATCACCTTTTTACAGAATTTTGATTAGTTCACAATATTTATTGATTTTATGGCAGAGAAATAGTGACCGAAAGATAGTCAAGAGCAGGTCACAAATAAATCTCCCTTCTCCAAGCCAGACAGGTTTCAAGGATTCTCAGTTACTTCTTGGTGAATGTGATGAAGGAAGTTACCAGTCGTTGACAGTTGCACCACTTATCTTTTGTCTGTTGCAGGGGTACAATCTGCTGCTGTAAATGTGATTTGCGAGTTGGCTCGGAAAAACCCCAAGAATTACTTATCACTGGCTCCTTTGTTCTTCAAACTCATGACAAGCTCCACTAACAACTGGATGTTAATCAAGATCATCAAACTGGTGAGTAAAAGCCAGAAAAATATATCTATTACAAATACTAGTCTTTCCTTGTATATTGAGTTCAAGGCAAAGTCAGAATTTTTTATCACGTGTTGAGCCCTCAGTGGTTTTTGATGGCATAAAGGACTTGACCATTTTACTTCCAAGATCTGATTCTTAATTCTCCCTCCCTCCTATGGTAACCATACATTTTTGATAAGTTCAAAGAATCTAGTCTTTTATGAAGGTAACACCCTCAAGCTGATATTAGGTTATTTCAAGGATCTGATTCCTAATTCTCCCCCTTCATACACCATACATTTCTTTGTAAATAAGTTGGGAGAATCTTTTGTTTTATCAAGGTAACGCCCTAGACCTGATCAGTCTGTTTGTTCTCTTCTTCTGGCTGATATATTGTTGTCGTTGGAAGGGTACAAATTTGTAACTCCTGGGAATCTAAGGGTGAACTCCTGTCAGGAACAGTTGGAATTCTTTTGCCTGAGTTTGACTAATAAGATTAATTATCTTACATATTTTTCCTTTGTTGTAGTTTGGTGCTCTTTGTCCTCTGGAACCAAGATTGGGAAAGAAATTACTGGAACCTCTAACAAACCTTATCCACAGGTACATTTTAAATCTCACCTTGTAGAAGTGTTTTTTTCCCTAATTTTTTGCTTTTTTTGTGTGGAGGCGCAGTGGCCTCATGGTTAGAGCGCTCAACTCCAGATCGAGTAGTCCAGGTTCAAGCCCCGGCGGGGACATTGTGTTGTGTTCATAGGCAAGACACTTTACTCTCACAGTGCCTCTCTCCACCCAGGTGTATAAATGGGTACCGGCGATTTAATGCTGGGGGTAACCCTGCGATGGACTGGCATCCCATCCAGGGGAGAGTAGAAATTTACTCCTACTCGCTTCATGCGACAGAAACCAGAGTTAAGCACCGGCCTAATGGGCCACTAGGCTCGTAAACAGACTTTGCTTTTTTCATAATAATTGTGTTTGCTGACTATGGATTTTACAGCTGTGACCACCAAAAAGGTTGTTCTGATCCTAGAAAAAAAATACCTTAACAGACTGCAGTAAGAAGCCTTATAGCAGCAGTTATGGCCTTTTAAACTGTAGCTAGCCTACTGTAAGTTTTCTCAGTTGTCACTGCTATCAGTAATTAGTTCTTGATTTCCCCTTGCAGTACTTCAGCCATGTCACTTCTCTATGAATGTATTAACACTGTTATATCAGGTAAGATTTAGATCAATTCGATCAGGAAACAGTGGACAAGAAGAGCCACTCAGTGGAATGTCCATTGCTAAATTATTTATTATTATTATTATTTATTACTATGTATTATGTCTATTGTTTCTGTCATAGTTGCTAATATATTACACGTACCTATTAGATTTAATTCTGTCTGGTTTAATTTGTTAAGTAATACTTCTAGGGAATTTGAAGAATTGCTTTTTAAGTGAAAGATGATTTTATTCAATGAAGGATGTGGGCACACCCAGAGACAAAGGAACTCTAAGTCAGGGCTCAACACTAACTTTTCAACTTACTAGCCAAGTTGCTGGTGACAACTTAGATTTTACAACAATTTAAGTTAGTTTACTAGCCAAACTGGCTAGTGGAAATTGAAAACTACGAGCCACAACTGAATTTCTAATAGTCTGTAGCTAGCGGGCTATCTTTAGTGTCCAGCCCTGTAAGTGTTCCCAAATGGGAGTCAAACCTAAGACCTTCCAATCAGTACTCCGGAGGCCTACAGTAAAAACCCGCATACAAGAACATGGGGATTAACAACACCCAGGCAGAAATTTGGTAAAAAAAAGGAGCATATATATATAAGAACACATTCAGCCTGAAAATTGAAAATTGTTCTTTTATATAAAAACTCTTCCCTTTTCAGTTTAATAGAACAAACAGTGTCTGCAGCTTTACTGTGGTATTGCACTAAGATCTCTGTAGAAATGCTAGTAATTTCACTTGCTGTATATAGCAAATGTACAACAACTGTATGTGGAATTAAAAGTCTTATTATTACAATTATAAGTTATTTATTTCGTCATAGTTAGTAAATCCCTTACATTTTTTTAGAAGTGAAAAATTAAGAACAGTTGAGAACACTTTCAGCCTGATCTCACCTAAAATACCCGATATATAAAAACCCAATCAGCCTGAACCCCGAAAATGAGTGTTCTTGTGTGCAGGTTTTTATTGTACCAGTAACAACTGAGCTAAAGGAGACTCATCATAGACTAGGCCATTTGACTAGGTCCATGGTGACAAACTTCATGCCATGCATGCTACTAGGATAGGAATGTTAGTTTATTTTTTTGTTGTTGTTTCTATGTGAGGATAATGTAAAAGAAAGAAGGTATTTAAGCCTGGTGATTTTTAAGTGAGAAAGGACATTCTTCAGTTCATGACACAGGGATACTCAGAGAAAAAGAGCTCCTAATAGCTTCATCTAAAAATATACAGGCATGTTACTAACTATTTCAATATGTTTTACTTTCAGGATTACCACAACACAATGCTTCCATTCAGGTACTGATCAAAGCTTTATGATATAAGTGTTGTCTCTAGACTGTGGTTTTGTTTGAATCTCAACACCCAAAAACTCAGAATAAGCTGGAATATCAAGATTGTAATCAATCTAACTATTAAGTTATTTACAGGGACTTAGCCAGGATTTTCCAGAGAGGGAGTTGCACTGTTTCAAATAGAGGGTACTCACCAGTTTTCACCTTGTGAATATTGTTGGTTGTTTGCTCAAAAAAATTGCTTACATGGGGGGAGGGGGATTCACAGGCACCCCAGGACCCCCATGGCTACGCCCTTGATGTAACTGGCCCTGCACTTCCATCCATAGATGATAGAGAAAGAAATTTTTTTTTTAAGTAACCATGCACTCTCCATTCCCGAGTTGTTTTCTATGTAAGTTGTTCTCTGCAGATGGTGAATTCTACTTGTATCAAGTATGTAATGAAAGCAATGCGTGTTTTGTTTCTCTTTAGTTATGTGTAAGCAAGCTTCGGATCTTGATTGAAGATTCTGACCAGAACTGTAAGTGAAGAAGCTTTGTTAGAGTAATGGATCAAATTAAATAAGCAACTGCTTACCTACCCCTCCCATTACCCCAAAACAGTCAACTGATAACAAGGTAGGGGAGGGGTAGGTGTACAGCAGTACTTATTTAGTAACTAGTATTGCTCTTCTATTAACAGTGAAATACCTTGGTCTACTCGCAATGTCAAAGATTCTGACAGTAAATGCAAAGGCTGTGCAAGTACACAAGTGAGTGTTATGATTTACTCATACATCTTTCTTTCCACCTGGGCCTACACTTTCCAAGGGATAAATAATTGCTATTCAGCAAAACATAATAGGCTTTCCACAGGATAGAGATTTATCTACTGGATAACATTATCCAATCTTCGAATAACTGGGGCCTGTTCTTCAATCTATCCCTTTACTGATTAAATAGATTCCATATTGCCATGCATTTGTTCACTTATAAAACCCCCTCCCGGTTAGCTCAATTGGTTAGAGCACTGGACTGTTGTGCAGGAGGTTGAGGATTCATGCTTGGCCGGACTAACAGTCAAGGTCTTAAAATAACTGAGGAGAATGTGCTACCTCTCTGTAATATCAAGAAATGAATAGACTTTCTAGTCTTCTCGGATAAGGGTGAATAAACCGTAGGTCCCATCTCCTGCCTCTATTATTTAGTTAATTTGGTTAGGCAGGGTAAGTCAAAGAACCCACTCACGAGATTACTGTGATGCAGTCTGGCCTGTTTACTTAGAATTGGGGGGGAAGGGGGCATCTTCAAATAAGTTTCCTTTGATTGATCGTAAACTGCTGGTAAAGTCCGGCCAAAGTCCTCCGAAAAGTGCTGTGATGCGCATTTGATCATATCTAAATGTTAATTTATGCACTATAAATATTAAATTATTATTATCATTATCATTATCATTATTATTATTACTATTATTATTATTATTATTATTATTATTATCATTACATGTAGGTCACAGATGACATCAAAATGTGGCTTAGCCAAGTGTGTCACTGATGTTCTTACCGCATTTTGACTTCCTCTGCGCTATATTACTGTGCAAACCAACAGCAAAATTGGAATCAATTCTTTTATATGATAAAAAAGCAAAACTATGTTAAATTAAATAGTGATGTCATATCCCCATCTATCCTCCAAGAGATCATAGATAAGAACCAATCAAAAGCAAGTATAATTTAGCCTCCCATAATATTTGATCACGGCATCTGGGGTTGATGAAGTCTTAGAAAGGAATATTTTTTGGATCCCATTTGCCTAGTGTGCTGGGTCTGGAAAGAAAGGCTGAAAAGAAATGCTTTAAATACAAAATTTTACCGTCAGTGCGAAGAGGAGAATATGACTGCATTCTGATGATATACTTGTATTCATTATTTTTTTTAGAGACATAGTTCTTCAGTGTTTAGATGACAAGGATGAGTCCATTAGACTCAGGGCACTGGACCTGATTGTGGGAATGGTGAGCAATTCTTGAATTTATGAAAATATTTTGGAAATTTTATGTTCTTATTGACAAAATGTTGGGGCCAAATTGTGAAATCTTTGGCTTCAACATATAACCAAGACAGAAATTTCAGTTATCAAAACAATTTAAAAACAAGAAGTCACACTTTTAATCACATCAGGGAATTAAAGCATTAAATTTTATTCTTTCAGGTTTCAAAGAAGAACATTATGGATATAATCAAGAAATTAATGGAGCAGATTGACAAGGCTGACAGTCAAAGTGAGTCTTAACTAGTTCTCTTTCAAAAATACCACATTTCTCATTGTTATTCAGTTTCTGGATGATACTTCATGTTGGCCAGATTCTTCCATGACATTTTTCACCATTGTCAACCTTGTCTGATTTTGTTGTTGTTGCTGTTTTTGATTTACAGCTTACTGTGACGAGCTTCTGTCCAAGATTATACAAATTTGCAGCATCAATGACTATCATTATGTTACAAACTTTGAATGGTAAAGATTTTCTTTTGCTCATAATTAATTTTGTTAGTAATTTACAAATCATATGGTAATAAGCCATTTTTGGTATAATTATTAAAATTAAAACTTGGCTCTGAGGCTTGTGGGAACAAAACAAGAGAAATCACCTGGAGGTTGAGGGATGAATGATCAATTTCTTCTGTTTTATTCCCCTAAGCCTTGAAGTCCTGTTAGAATTATAATTTTTTTAATCTCCATTTTGTGTTGAAATACATTTACTTTTCAGTATTAATCGGGTCTTCTCACTTTTTTGTAGGTACATTGATGTGCTGATTCAATTAACAAGAGTTGAAGGGACAAGCCTTGGTAAACAGCTGGCTTCACAAATGATGGATGTTACCATTAGAGTCAAGGCAATTCGTCCTTATGCCGTGCAGTGCTTGGTGAGTTTCATCTTCAAGATCAGCATGTGGCTGTTACTGATCAACTTAATCAATTCTTCTTAATAAATTTTGCTCCAATTTTCACAAAGGAAATAAGATATATCTTTAAATAAACCAAGTGGTTTGGTTCTCCTTTTATAGATTGCTAGAAACACCTTGTTTCTGAATGATCTTGTAAGAAATCCAAGTACATGTAGCTAGTTTGGTGCATAACAGTGCTTGATTAAGAAACAAGAACTAATTTAATTTGTATCACAGCTGTGGAAACATGCAAGGCAAAATTCTAAGCATTTTGGTCAAAAGTTTCTTACTTAATTCCTTGTAGTACATTAAAGTGATAGTTTGTCAAAAATGTTTGAATTGTTAAATTTGTTTCCAGTCTTTATTACTGGACAACAGTGAACTGATGTCAGGACAAATGGAAAAGAACAGGGTTTGTGAAGTTCTTTATGCTGCAGCTTGGATCTCTGGAGAGTTCTCAGAGTAAGTTCAGTTTCTGAAGTAATAAGCATAATTTAAAGTGACTTCATGCTAGGATATTATATAAATAATAGCCTCTATCTTGCACAAATATGCATGGATATTTCCAAGATGCAAACAGTTGGCTGAGAACAAAGCATGAGGATATTTGTCCTCAGACATAATCTGTTCCAAGATGCAAACAGTTTTCTGAGAGCCAAGCTGCCAAAAGGTTACTTCCAAAAATTATGTTACCATGTTAAGTAAGTTCACAAAGCTCTTCTTGGTTTTGTAAGTCAGTGATGACTGTCTTAAAACCTGGCAGTAGAATTTAGCCTTCTAAAGTTGAAAGCTGTTTTGGGTACATTTCAATGTGATTAGAAATTATTTCCCAACCATAAAGATGTTGAGTAGGGATACCATGAATACCTTTTTAAATTTGTTTTCCTGGTTGTTACTGTAAGTTACAGTTCAGTTTATGGCCTGCACAAGTACCCTTTGGGCTACAAACTGAGGGAGGGAAAAACTTAGTCTATAAGCCATTTGGACCTTGGTTTGGGTTGATAATAGGTAGATACCAGAATGTATGAATTATGGACTGACTGTTGTGTTTATTTGTGATATCAGACACTTACCAGACATCCACAGTACGTTAGAAGCAATGTTACAAGCCAAAGTCACCTCTCTTCCAGGCCACATCCAAGCAGTTTATGTCCAGAACATTGCTAAGTTGTATGCAAAAATCCTTGCAAGTGAAGCAGAAGAGGTTTGCGGTTTGATTGAAGTGTAACCCTATCTGTTTAAAGATTGACCAAAAAACACTTTTTTTTCCCTCATTCCATGGTGACAAAAATATAGAAAATGTCAATTAGAGATTATTTCTGATTGAACACCAAATTCTTAAAACTAAAATGATGAGAAATGAATGGTAGATAGTACAGAGAATTGCAAGGGAAAGGGTAAAAACTTACGAGAGCAACGTCTGAGATTAAAGCTGTTTGAGGGGCTAAGAATTTTTTTGGTAGACCGGATTATTAGTGTCTAAAGAAACTGTGGTGCTCTATTGATACCTAATTGAAAGATGTTGCTAAACCACTGCAGCAAATTTTATTAGGCTGATTTTCAAGTGATAGCCCTTTGTCAAAGCAAAATGTGTTTCTATAGTGGAGAGAGAAATTATGCTAAATTGAAGCAGGAAAATTTGAAATAACTGAAGCAATCTTTTTGAGTCAATTCACCAATTAATTTTGAATAATAAATTTTTGTTTGGAATTTCTGCAAAGATGTGGTGTGTTTCTCTATTTTTCTATTGTTAAAGCATGTGCTCCTGAACATGGAAGGATTTTTTCGTCTTTTTAGGAAGAAGATGATGAGAAGACATCAGTTGGCGAGATGCTGATAGAGAAGTTACCTGTTTTTGTGCAGAGTGCAGACCTAGAGGTGCAAGAGAGGGTAAGGAGTGTGACTCTGAGTAATTTAGAACAGAATTTCAAAAATAACACAACATTTTGATCTTGTGTTTTTATTTCAGAGGTTTTGTTTAGGGGAGAAGGGTGAGGAAAGTGGGGAATGTTGAGGCTTCAGATGTGGGGGGTGGGGGTGAGGGTTAAGATGAACCTTGACAATAGGCCATTTTACAGTTGTGTACTTAGTTACCAAGCCTTTGATTTGGAGAGAGGCTGAAGGTGACCTTGTTGTGATAGAGACCTGTATCTAGTTAGCATGATAATAAAGTGATTTACATTTGAAAGGCAGCAAGGTTTTGTATCATAACAAGGGCAACCCTAGCCTCACTCCCGTTCAAAGGTTTGGCAACCAAGCACACAATTGTAAATTGGACATTTAGACTGGGGCTTTCCAAAGAGATGGACTTTTTAGGATCATGAATCTCTAGAAGGGGGATTAAGAAACAAGTAGGAGCTTGGAGATTTAGATGAAGAGCTTATTACAAAGGATGCATACTAGAAATATTCAGGCAATAGGGAATTATTACCCCCCCCGACCCCCAAAAAAAAAAATCTTTCAGTGAAATGTGGTTCTTTGGATGGGGTTTGATCATTAGCTTTTGTATTTCATTTTAGGCAAGCTGTATTTTGCAACTCATTAAGTATGTTCTCAAACTGCAAGGAAAAGGTGAGCCAGTTCTTCATTTTGTTTTGTTTTGTCTTTTGTTTTGTCTTTTGTTTTGTCTTTTGTTTTGTCTTTTGTTTTGTCTTTTGTTTTGTCTTTTGTTTTGTCTTTTGTTTTGTCTTTTGTGTTGTCTTTTGTTTTGTCTTTTGTGTTGTCTTTTGTTTCGTTTTTGTTTTGTTTTGTTTTTGTTTTTGTTTTTGTTTTTGTTTTTGTTTTTGTTTTGTTTTGTTTTTGTTTTGTCTCTGTTTTGTTTTGTCTTTTGTTACGTTTCTTTTTTCATAAACATAAGCTCAATAAGCAGTTAAGCTGTTACGAAGTTCATTCAAGCCTAAGGGCATTCCAATGTAATATCCTTTTCCTTTGCTTTCTGGGGTGAAAGGTTGTTCAGGATGTAATGCTATCCTTGTTGTGTGTGTTTCTTTATCAGGTGTTGCCTGCACTAAGGAGGTATCTTCATTGTTTCATGGTGAGCTAAATCCAGTTGCTGCTAAAGCACAGAAGAAAGTGCAGATTCCAGAAGGGTAGGTTGAGGCTTTCTCAGTCAGTGATTCTACTTTACATACCAAAATAAATTTAGGACAATTGTCTGAATTGAGGAAAAAATTTTCGGACAATTGAAATTTAGTGAAAATAAATGTATTTATCGAAGCTTAGTGACCTCAAGAAGGGGACAAGTCTGTGTTCGGGTAAGTAGCCCCTTCCAGTAAAAAAAAAAAAAGGGGGGGGGAGCAGATCTATTCTAAAGTTTGTATCATGATAGTTGGCTCATGTTAGTGCTCCTGTAAATAGGACTTGAGAATGGGAAAGGATAATTATACTGGTATAATATAGATAAATAAATTAATAAAAGTTATGTGAAAGAAAACATGACAAGATGTGTTTGTTCTTAAGATATTTTTAGTAAAAAATAGCGTCGTCATACAGAAGTATTGATGTAAAACCGAATATTTTATGAAAATCTTCCCGGGCGGTCAGATAAACAATTCTCATTGAAGAGTCAAATCGCAAAATACACGTACGTGATTGTTTTCTGAATTGTTGGAAGTGTTTTCATTATAATACAATAACACATGTAAATATAAACATTTTAAAGTCGATAAAGTAAAATTTTTATACAAAAACACACATTTAAAATTACAGTTATCACACATCCCAAATTAAACAAAATTTGATTTCATATTCACGTTTGTCGGTACCGATCAAGTCTAGATGTCCGCCAACTAACAAATTTATCGATATCGTTACGCCATGAGAAATTCTAAGCGTGATATTACTTTCGAAACATATAAAAGAATTTTAAATGAAATGAATAACAAATCGATGGGCCGTTTTAATGCCTATTTATGCGAATATTTTCGGCCAATTGTCAGTTTTTCAACGTAAACTATCGGACATTTACAAAAACAATCGGCAAAATGCCGATGGCCGATGACGATCTGAATCACTGGTCTCTTATTTTTATCTCTTAATATTTATATTTTGATTTAAAATTTCTTGGCTTAGCTTTTGTTTTCCTGATGAGTTAATTCAAAGCAACTCACTTCTAACTATATGAACTTTTTTTTTTTTTTAATGTTAAATTGATGTCGAGTATAGTGTCGCTTTACAGTTAAATCTTGACATCGAAAATGGATGCAATGCCAGGGGAAGGTTCAAATGTGTATCTTATGTCTGGGTGAATTTTCGTCACCCAGTGACGACAACAACCACAGTCTTTATTTGTACTCGCTTGCCTGTGTCAAGTTAAAAAAAAACAATATTGAAAACAAATAGAGTACTGGCTGTCTGGAATAACCATAGGGGCTAGCGGAGCCAGGCAGCCAATGTTTCTCGGAGGGGGGGGGAGGGAGGGGAGGGAATGATTCATTTTAGAAGTTTTCAATTGATTGTTCAAAAGAAAATAGTAGTGAGTCTTGTAATTATGTAGTCAACAAAATTTATTTCTTATATATGTTGGTTTTTTTTGTTTGTTTGTTTTTTTTTGTTTTTTTTGTTTAGGCTTGACCTTGATAAATGGATAAATGACCCACCATCAGAAAGCTCTGAAGAGGAAGAGGAGATTGATGCAATATTTGACACACCAAATGAACACAAGTATGATTTAAAATGACTAAGTGAACACTCATATATTTTTTACAATTTTAAATTGAGTTTAGGAGCATGCTGTTGTTACAGAAGTTGCTCCCTCAATTTTAACACCTAACTTTTATTTTCATTTTACACACTCATCCCCACCCCCCTGGATATGCTTTGTTCCTTTTTTACCCACTGATCACGAGATTGCTCATCAGTGGAGTGGGAACCCATTTTCATGGGATCCCATACATCAACACCAATGGAAGCCACAAAGGTTGCTAGTGAAACTACTGATTAATATATTTCATACTATACAAGTGAACACTCAATTAGCGGAAAACTTTCTAAGATTAAAGTCTTCCAAGGCTCTAGGCTCAAATTTTTGTAAAGATACTATTTGATGAGCTAAAATCAAAAGATGGTTCCCAGAAATAAAATTGGGTGCCAGAAGAAGAAAAAGACATGCTGTGTGCATTATTACATGATTCTCTAAACCGCTTCCCACATGACTTGTTTTTCTAGTAAGCAGTATGGCTGACATTCTTTTTTTGGCAATTTAGGCGATCACTCAAACTCCGTTTCTCTTAACTTAAAACAACTGTTTTGGAAATTTTCAGAGAACTGAAGCAGAAGTATGTATCAGATGATGAAGAAGAAATGCAGAGGGTAAATTTTTGCTTCTTTGTCTTACTTTACGGTGAGCTTTGTGTTTATTTTTGTCCTGCTGCTTATGACACTGGTGCCAACCTGATGGCCGTTCTGTTGTATTTGTAGAGACGTGAACAGAGAAAACAAGAACAAATGAGTAATCCTCATTATCTGAAGATGTCATCCCGGGAGGAGAGGAAGGTAAAATGAAAAGAATCCCAATTTCATGTATTTATTGTGCCAGTTGAAAAGCCAGCGCTTCATTTCGTCTGACTACTCAAAGTAATTTGATATTGGATGACTTTTTCATCGTGTGGGTCATCATTACCATGAAATTTGGGTTTTATCGACTCAGTAGATAATGTAATTCGGCCTCCGTAAAGAATTTCAAAGCTGAAGTTTCGAGCATTAGCCCTTCATCAGAGCGAATGGAAGGACGAAAACTCGAAACGTCAGCTTTGAAACTCTTTACGGTGGCCAAATTACATTATCAACTCAGTCGATAAAACCCAAATTACCTCGTTGTTCCCACCGACGCAGCACCACAGTTTCTTTAGAAACGTGCCCCCTTTATTTATCGTTACCATGGTCAGCTTGAGTTCCGTTGTGCTAAAATGTTGCACCATACGTAAAGTAAATTTGGTTTGATAAATTGAGTTCCTTTTGAAAACCCTAGCGGTGGCCAATGTACATTATCAAGGAGCGTGAATGGGGTGGCGCCGTAGGCTCTCGTATTTGGGTCTCACCTTACAGCCCCTTATTTCGGGTACAGCCGCCTATACGTCATTGGCAGCTGCCTATGGAAAAAGTTAATAAAGCTAAAACCCCTGCTTACCTGTATTTCTTTTTTCTCAGGTTAAAAAGAAAGAAATGGCTGTAGAGGATATCCCTGTGACTAACCTTGACTTGCCTGTTTCACTAAAAGTGTCCGGAGGTAGGAGTCTTTTGATAGATTAAACATGAAATTCAATCGTGAAAAAAAGAAATTCAAAGAAATCATAATATTGATCAAGTCTTAAAATTGGTTCACCTCTTAGACAAGGTTCCACCGATTTTTACTTAAATTGTGTGCAGCTCTCCAAACCATATCCGTTTACAAATTAAACCTTGTCAGCGGAGCTGGCGTGAATTTGAAGAGCGAGTGCTCAATGTTTTCTTGGTCAAAATTTTAGCTATCATCTTTGATTTTACGGCCGAAGAAGGCTGGGGAGAAAAAGAAATTTGCTCCAAGGGGGTGAAGGGTGATCAAAAGAAAAGAGAGGGAGGGGTGGGAAGGTCTTTCCGCTCCCCCCATCCCCACGGTTCACTTAAACTCTAAATCAAACATGGCCGACCGGATTGACGATCACGAGTTTGTAACGCTAACTTGCCTTAATTAGACGGCTGCACTGTAAGCGGGATTAAATCAAAATAATCTCTCTGAAGTTATGAACAATCAGTTGCTTGATGTGAATTTGCAAGAGACTTAACTTTTGCAAAGTTGTGTCAGAAAAAAATGGCCCCCATCTATCACTGATAAAGTCTTTTTTTCTGTATCATTTAACTTCAAAGTGAATTTTCTCTTGCCTTTCGCTCACTCACTGTAAATTTTGTCGTCAGGTATGGCACTTGACAAGAAATATGCTTCTGTTAAGAAGTTAAAGAAGAGAAGAAAGAATGGTTTGTATTTTTGTGGTCGCTTTTCTTCTTGTGGCAAAATATTTGCCCGCACTACATTTGAAACCATTGAATAAGTTGTATTTATTTCCCTCTGTTGTCAGGTCGCAAAGGAAGTAGGACAGATGAAGAAGAGCCACATCTTGGCATCTCATATGAAGTGCTCCCAACCGGGGCTGGAGAATTACCTGAAGTATGATTATTGTGTTAAAATGGATGGCATGTTACTTTTGTACCATAATTAATATGTACTTTTTGACTGAGTTTGGTTAGGCTGATGGGTAATTTTTGCTCGAAGTATGGGTCCGTGTGTCACGAACGGACCCCTCTCCCCTTCGTTTTCCCCCTCCAACTTTCCCCCTCCCCCTCCTTCACCGCACTAAGCCCTCTTTACTTTCTTTCCTTCGCCTGATCCATTCAGTGTTGACGGTTTTTGAATGCGGGTTCATGACTAGCTTAGGGGGATTCTTTGGCCATAGGGTAATATTCTGTTAGATGACTTATTGGACTCTAGATGCCTCAGTAAACCTACTTTCTCTTTAGAGTTAAGCAGCTTTTTAATGACTTAATGCTATTTGGTTAGGGAGCTGATGAGTCAGATCATGAAAATAAAGTGAATGACGACGAGATTCCTACGAGTGACCCTCACAAACTCTTGGATGTCGACCTCAGCAAGTATGTCCGACTCTGTCACTTGTACTTCCTCTGTTTTCACGTTTTGACCCTAAGATTGACCAGCATTTATTTTCTTACAGCATCACCCCTGAATCACACATTAAAGGATCCCTTCCAACCACAATACATTGCGCGCGCGCGATATGTGAAATCCGCCATTTTCTCTGCCATTCGGTATTGGACAAGTCGTGAAGTGGAAAGAAATCCTCGTTCATCCGAGTACATTTGCCTCGCTGAGGTCTTGAATTTCCTCAATCGCGGTCCAAATTTATTGTTCTTTCTATTTGCCTAGTTATTTCTTAATTATTTTTTCTGTTTGGGCGCGCAGGGTATTGTGGTTGGAAGGGATCCTTTAAGGTCACGATAATAGAGGAAATGATTACCAACTTACAAAAGCTCTTGATTATTATGCAAATTCTCCTTTTCAGTACCTTAGGAAATGTATAGAAAACAGTACGGAGATTATCCATGCTGATGCTACGGAGTAAAGTGATTAAGAAATATACATATGCATAAGTGTTTTGGTCACTTACCTATAAATTTTTGCATAATGTTATGTTTGCAACACTTACGTTTGGCATCACTTTATTTTCTTAATTTTTTTTTAGATCGCACAGTTGTGTGGCAAAAGTGTTATGTATAAGTGTACTGTACTCTTAAGAAAAGAAGGTTAAAAAGATTGAATGGTTTTTCTTTCAATTGATTTGCAGGCCTCTTGAAGCTCACGAAACTCTGCCTGTCCGACAACACCGAGTTGTATTAGAATCACAGCCGGCTGATAGTGGAGAGAATGAGGTCAGAAGTAGAACTTATTTACATTATTTTTCAATGGTCTACCATGATCACTTTCTCCAAAGAAAGTATGTGGCTTATTGGCCAAACCTTATGAAGTTCCCACATTTATTTAACTTTTGCCGACAGGCAGGGACACCGCGACAGCTTGCTCCAATTACCGCGGGCCCTGTAAACCCACCCATCCCACCCCAGGGGAGGACATCCACCACACAGTAATCTCGTGCGTGTATATACAAGAAAAAATAAGGAAATATATTAGTTATTTTGTATATGCTGGGAAAAATCGCGATTTGAGCAAAGAGAAGCGCAATTTCTCTTGGGTAACCGCAAGTCATGCGCGCAATTTGAACAAAGAGGAGCGCAAGTGCTGTCGGGTAACCGCAATTGACCACGAGGTCTGCTACCTACAAGGTTATCTAACTAGAAACAGTTATTTACTGCGGGGGCAGCTTAGTGATAACTATTACTAGTTATGGGAGATAAACAACCCTTTATTAAATTTAATTTTTCTTAGTCGTGATGTCTGCGTTATTAACTAAATGTGACTCGTTTATTTCTACCACCTGAATTTTCGGGACTTTCGCTCTAAACTTTCGATATACTAAAGTCATATTTGAGAGCTAGGAAACTATGGCTTTTTATTGAATTATACGTACTGAACTCGGGGGTTTCCAGAACGTTTTCCGTAAGCTGCCGGTGAAATAGGCGGTGATACCCGGAAACGGAGGCCTGAAGGCGAAATCTAAACAGGAGAGCCTGTTCCCCACTCTAGACAGACAGCAGTAAGTGGTTTTACAGGCGCCTAAAGACCGCCGCCAACCGGCGTTTATTGGAACCGTTGTGTACCTTCACGAGAAAGGAAATCCTCAGTTAGATATAGTTAACATTTAGGACGCTAAAATACGAGAGAGTAACCTTTGAGCTCGTATCGTATTTTCAACTTTAGGAAACCCCCAAGAAACATAGGAAGGATAAAAGACAAAGACATCGAAAGGACAGTGAAGGCAGAAAGGTTTGTTAACAGCATTTAGGTGGCAATAATTATTTTAAAGTTATTAAATGTGAAGTATTTAAATGCCATGAAATGTCTTCTTCTAAGCAGCGCGATTCTTCGCGGGGAGATTGGAGACGAGTCGTTGTTGTTATCTATGTATTTAAGGTACTTATTCATTAATTCGTTTCCCCATGTATTCGTTTATTAGGGCAAACACAAGCATAAGAAGGATAAGGACGACAAAGATAAGAAATCAAAACACAAACATCGGCATCACCATGAAGATGAAGGTACTTCTTTTCAAATAGAACAACTTCCCTGGGACAGAACTCATCAAATAGTACTTGAAATCCAAGTTTCTTGTCTACGTAAGTAGGTGGTGACTTATATTCATGAAGTACCCAGTTTGCGACTGCCCGTGGGAGACGCGGTGACTTGGTGCTGAGTGCGCTTGACTCTTAATAGAGAGGTCTGGATTCGAGCCCTGGTGGAATCATTGTCTTTTGCTCCTGCACAGGACACTTAAATCTCACATTGTATGCCTACAAGCATAAAGGGGTACTAGCAGGGGTGGGGGGCGGGGGACAGGAACCTTGTGATGGATTTCCAGCGTCCTGCTCACGTGGTGAAGTAGATTTTACCTTTGTGGTGTATCAATGTGTCAATGTCTGACCTGATGTAATACCAGAATCTCAGCAGTACTCAACAAAGAAATGAGTAATATCATTTTAAAGAATTAACTCTTTGATTGTATTTTTCTATTTGTTTGTTTTGATTTGTTTGTATTTTTTACTTAGGTGCAGAACCTGTTGAGGATAATCTGATGTTTAATGGAGAAGTGGATCACGTTGAATCACCGTCACGAGATGATTCGCATCAAGAAAGTGAAAAAACAACTCCCACGAAAGCGATAACAGAGGTTGAGGACTTTCAACCTTCAGTGGATGAACCCAGTGACCCTCAGGTGTGTAAACCGAACCGATATTAGACAGTAAACAGGCCCTCGTTATTAGCGCGGCAGGGCGCTCGTTTCTCCGTCTGCGGGAAGATTTGAGACGAGTTGGGGAGAGGTTTTCAGGGGTTCAGCACTAGTACTCAGTATCAGTGCCAGACTCCTTTCAGATCTCTCGCCCGCTCGTCTAATACAGAAAATACCGGGAAAGGCCACTTCTGCCGCAATGCATCCTGCTTAAGGCCCCACACTATCCCGGGGGTGAAAACACGCTCGTACCGAAACACTTATAAGGAGGGCCTTGTCGAAGGCTATAGTCTTAACTGTTAATGTTGTCACACTCTAGTCATATTCTGTGGTAAAATGTTTTATTTTCCATGACATCTCAAAACCTTGATATTTTTCACATGGTAGGATGATATGGACTTTTGGCTTTCCTCAACTCCACAGAAGTCTTCCCATCAGGTAAGCTGTGTAATTGACGTAATATTTTTGCTAGCCTTACGCGAAGAACAATTATTTCGTTAATTCCTTTGAGTTTACTTACTGGTTTGTGGACAAACTTCATCGACTGAATCATGAATGACAGATAGCTTTGCCGGCAAACTGACCGATGTGCAGAAGGCTCGACGGACAGACGAACGGTTGGTTGGCTGACCGACTGACCAACTCACAGGTATTGAGCTTTGCTGGCGGACAGACAGACTTAGGGCATGGCGAAAGGACTAACTCACTGACTAACTCACTGGCCTACAGATCGATTCACTAATCACTCTGTCGGATTGATCGAATCATTGACTCACTTAGTCACCCACTGACTAACTGACCGACTCACTGTTAAGCTGGCTGACTGACGCATTGACAGACCAACCAACGGACGGACTGACTGACTGACTGACTGACTGACTGACCTACCTGCTGAATCAGTGACTAGCTTACTAATGGACTGTCACCAGCTAAGTGACTGACCAACAGACTGACTCTCTGATTAGCTGACTGGCTTACATTCTGAATGGTTGACCAACTTACTAACTGACTTGTTGATGTATCGATGTAGTGATTGATTGATTTATTGATGTATGGTTTGATTTAACGTTTGATTGATTGATTAACTTATTTTGTCACAAGCCTGCGGAAGTAGCCTCAACACCCTCACCTGATACTGCAGCAGAAAAGGCACGAAAAGAAGAAAAACATGCCAAACAATCTGAGGTACAGAGTTCAAATTCTTCATTTTAAATTCTTATCAATTTTCTCCATCCTTTTTCTCTTACATGAGAAACGTGAGGCAGCTCCTTTGCCGCGTTGACGTTTTTCATTTAACCTTTCATCGTCAAAGCCAATAGGGAATATTTTATTACATGGAAACATCTCTCTTTCCTCAGAAATCCGAGACTAAAGAATCGAAACGAAAACACCGTAAGGATAAATCAGAGAAGAAAGAGAAGCATGAAAAGGAGAGAAAGAAAGAAAAGAGAAAGAGTAAAACTGGTGAAAAGCCAGAATCAGTGGAGACCCCTGCGGGTGAACCAGAAAACCAGGATGAACCATCAATCATAGAGGTCGAAGAGGAGAAGAAGCAGGTAAGATACAAGGTCAACATCCACCCCCCTACCCCTATCAAAGCATTGTATTGAACGTCCCCCCCCCCCGCCTGTATGCTACTTACTCTTAGAGATTCCCCTTTGAGCGTTTATTTTTCCCGAGACGTTTTTAGTGTTCGATGTTTTTAGGAAGTGTTCGTATTAATGATGTGATAACTTGTGTTTCAGCCCGCCATCATAACGTACAAAGTTCTTGCCGAAAACGGTTCCCTTAGACTGGTAAGGAAATTAATTCAGTTTCTTATATCGTCGATATTTTTTTTGGGGGGGGGGAGGGGTGGGGGCAATTACATTTGCAAGAAAAGTAAAAATATTTTCACTAAATTCATTAGATATAAAACTTAATTTTTCGTTTACCGCCAAATTCTCGAAAAGTAGTATTAACTCTTTGCATCCTATGTATATTCTCCATACTATTCTCTATGCATCTCTAATGGTGTTAATAAAGGAGAATTTGGTTAACAATCAACGGCTCCTCTAGTTGGTGATCAAAGAGCTATGTTGAGGTCAACAGGTTATGGCGTTAAATGAGAATATATCAAGACGTAGCTAACTTAATCTTGAATTTATGAATTCTTTGTTGTTACAGATGTACGAGACAAGAGTAACCACACAAAATAGAAACCAAGTAGTAGTGTCCGTTATATTCAGGTGAGTGTTGACTAAGGATATGACCCACGTTCATCTTCTCCTTAAAAGTACTGTAGATTATCTACCGGGTATAAGTGGGTACCAGGGGTAGAAATGGATATCAGGATATAAATGGGTACCAGGGGTATATATGGATACCAGGGGTATAAATGGGTACCAGGGGTATAAATGGGTACCAGGGGTATAAATGGGTACCAGGGGTATATATGGGTACCAGGGGTATAAATGGCTGCCGACTTGGCAAGGAAGTTCGATGAACTGCTGAGGGGTAGCCATGCGATGGACTAGCAACGTATTCAGGGGGGAGTAGTAAGTTTGGAAATAGGATGAGTTCAGGTAGATGGAACACTTGGCTCGAGTATGGACTTCACCTGGGCCTTTGACTGGAGCTAAGTCTCCCATCCAGCTTAAGCTAACCTCAGTTTTTGTAACGTAAACAGAATTGGAGTGTTATCACTTCCCCTGAATGGGGTGCCAGTTTCTCTGTCGATTATAGGTAATAATTTGGATATATCAACAAAGTTGAAGTGGTAAATTGGCCACCGTAACGATTACAAAAGCTGACGTTTCGAGCGTTAGCCCTTCGTCGGAGCGAAAAACAGATTTCTTCGAAACTATCAGCCTTTATTCGATTATGCGTAACACAATCGAAAAGAACTTCACTTTAATTCATGTTTTCTTCTCCGAATTTGTGTTCACAGTAATTTGTCGGATCGTCACATCAAGTCCATGGAATTTAATGTAATAGATTCACTTAACACTAAACTGATACGTCCGGTGAGTTAGTATTCATAGCTCTCTTTGTCTTGTGTAACCATACCGTCTAGGCCAAACTTCATTTCTTAATGTCGTGCTCAGTTTGGACCTTTGTGAAAGGTGTGAAAATTAGCAATGCCACAACTCTAGTTTTGACTTCTTACGACTTGATACCTTCATAGAATAGAACACTGCCTCTATTTTGGAAAGGTATTCGGTGTGGAGCACTCCCTTCAACTGCCTCAGCCAGTTACTTACGATAGACTTGAGAGGCAAATTGAGCAAAATCTCAGGAGATTTTCTACACTACTGGCTGCAAGCAAACCATTTGGCTCTTTTTTTTTTTTTTTTCTGTGAGCGAAGTTGAGGATTTGAACGTGGAACTTCCGAGATTACATGCTCAGGACTCCGTCTCCAAACTTGAGAACTAAGAATTTAAGTTTGGCCACTCAACAAAACCACATTTTTCCTCAAAAACTTTACAAAAGTATTTTCACTTGTGAAACGCTGAAGTTCTTACGAGAAAAACTAACATGCAGTAAAGTTGTCCCAGAGCTGTGGAGTGAAAATGAAATTCATAATTAAGATATAATGGTGAAATGTGTCTTTGTTGAGTGACCTTACCAACGCCTTACATTCACAGATCGGATCTTCGTCACGTGACAGTGTTCCAGTCCCTTTTCATCTTTTGCCAGGTAAGTGATCATGTATAACTGCTGCTTGTCTGTTACATGTTAAGGTTTTAATAAGTTTTCTCTATTTGAATAAATGAAAATTAACTAGGTCTCTCCCGTTGTTTACACTAAACTTCTTAAATGGCCTTGCTCAACAAAACGATTTGCAATTGACTATTCACCAAAGACTACAAAATGTGTCCTCTGAATAGAAGTGCCCCTTCCATTCAGTAAAACTTCCTATCAAGGGACACTTTGAAGACCACAAAAAGTGTCCCCTAAGTAGAAGCGTCCCATTAAGACAGTGGATCCTCCCTTCAGGGGACACCTCGAAGACCATAAAAAGTGTCCCCTCAATAGCGTTTCTGTTCAACGAAGATAACATATGTAGAAAGGAACCTTCTTCAAAAAAGACAACTTGAAGACTGGAAAAGTGACCCTCTCGACGAACTGTTCCTTCATTGAAGGTAACATAAAAAGTTGTGAGAAATTTTGTCCAGTTGGGATCGAAGTCTCGAATATAGGTCTCTTCTGGATAAAGATGAGTGTGAACAAAGATGTCACTAGTGTGTATTAACCAATCATACTTCTTGATTATCTCGCAGAATCGTCAAATGAAGGACAGTTTGCCTTCACTGTGGAGAGCATAAACATGGCACAGAAACTGAGAGGAACACTTACCTACGTTATCAAGGTACTTCACTCATTTATAACAAGAATATCTTGCCGATAGGAGGGGGGAAGG